AGAAAGGGGAGAGCCAAAGTGCGTGTATTTGAAGCTGAGAGTTAGTTTTAGGAACTATTGGGAGAGACAGTTGGGAAAACGAGATAAAGATGGTGCTTTAAAAACATTTACTTTGTTCCCTCCAAAACTCCACTGGAGTGACAATAACAGGGTCTTTGTTTTGAGAAGTAATAAACAGGGCTTCCCTGGTGGTGAGGAACCCGCCTGCCAATGCAGGAGACATGGGTTTATCCCTGGTCTGGGAAGATCCCGTATGGCCTCGGAGCAACTATAAGCCCTTACGCCACAATTACTGATACCTGCTTACCCTAGAACCCACAACAAGAGAAGCCACTGCAATAAGAAGTCTGCGCACCACAACTAGAAAGGAACCCCTGCTTTTCACAACGAACGAGCCCACGCAGCACGGAAGACCTGGCACAGCCAAAAATAAAAAACTACAATTATATATGTGTGTGTGTGTGTATATATATATATAAAATATACAAAGAAGATGGTAAAGGAGATAATATAGAAGCAAAATTTGAAAACAGTAGGACAAGCAGAAACTGATTTGTTAAACCCTGGAAAGTTGAATCCTAAATTGGCAGTGAAAGTCAAGAAGCGACTCAGTTGTCTCTAAGAACCCCAAAGTCACCAGGAATTCATGGCACCAGGTACCTCTGGGTGTGACAGTTAAAATGGGGCTAAGGAGGATTTGTTGGAAGTCTGTCTTAGAAGCAGTTAAGATTCCACCCTTCCCCCTCCGGGCAGCAGAGTAAACTGCTACTCACCCTGACAGAAAACTAAGCTTCACTGACTAGAGTGGCTGAAGAGGATATGCTCTGGACTGGGAATTTTGGGGAACCACTGGGAGAATGGCTGTCAAAGGGGAAACTGGTTGATTTACTAAACCTCTGCAGTTGGATATTAGAAAATTCAAGACCCATTTTCTTTTTGGTGGGGAAACTAGGCCTATCCCCTCAAGGGGAAGACTAGAAGATTCTTTACTTCTAGTAAAGAAGTTGTAGAGATACCAGCATCAGAGCTGCAGTCAGGAAACAGCCCAGCCAGATCCCCATACGGGGAAGTATGAGTCACCAAAGCATCCACACGCCCAGAGCTCCAAATAAGTTCCTTGCGCCATACCCTTATGTTTGAGCTTATTACCAAGGATCACCAGGCATTTGAGGAAAGCCTTGAACCTGAAAGAAGCCAAAACAAATGAATGAAAAAGAAGTTTCAAAGAACCAGACTATGCAGGAGGGGAAAGCACCTCCAAAAGTCAATGACATTTCAGTAGTTTCTGAGACATGAAGTAATGCTCAAAATTCTCCAAGCCAGGCTTCAACAGTACATGAACTGAAAACTTCCAGATGTTCAAGCTGGATTTAGAAAAGGAGGCGAAACAGAGATCAAATTGCCAACATCCATTGGATCATAGAAAAAACAAGAGAATTCCAGAAAAACATCTGCTTCACTGACTACGCTTAAGCCTTTGACGGTATGGATCACAACAAACCGTGGAAAATTCAAGAGATAGGCACATCAAACCACCTTACCTGCCTCCTGAGAAACTTGTATGCAGGCAAAGAAGCAACAGATGGGATATGGAACAACAGACTGGTTCAAAATTGGGAAAGCAGTACATCAAGACTGTATATTGTCACACTGCTTATTAAGCTTATATGCAGAGTACATCATGTGAAATGCCAGGCTGGATAACGCACAAGCTGGAATCAAGATTACCAGGAGAAATACCAATAACTTCAGATATGCAGATGATACCACCCCTATGGCAGAAAGTGAGGAGGAACTAAAGAGCCTCTTGATGAAAGTGAAAGAGTAGAGTGAAAAAGCTGGCTTAAACTCAACATTCAAAAAACAAAGATCATTCCATCTGGTCCCATCACTTCATGGCAAATAGTTGGGGTAAAAATGGAAACAGTGACAGACTTAATTTTCTTAGGCTCAACAATTACAGCAGATGGTGAATGTAGTCATGAAATTAAAAGATGCATGCTCCTTGAAAGAAAAGCTATGATAAACCTAGACAGCATATTAAAAAGTAGAGACACTTCTTTGCCAACAAAGGTCTGTCTAGTCAAAGCTATGGTTTTTCCAGTAGTCTTGTATGGATATGAGAGCTGGACCATAAAGAAAGCTGAGTGCCGAACAATTGATACTTTTGAACTGTGGTATTGGAGAAGAATCTTGAGAGTCCCTTGGACAGCAAGGAGATCAAACCAGTCAATCCTAAAGAAAATCAATCCTGAATATTCACTGGAAAGACTAATGCTGAAACTGAAACTCCAATATTTTGGCCAACTGATGCAAAGAACTGATTCATTTGAAATGACCCTGATGCTGGGAAAGATTGAGGGCAGGAGGAGAAGGGGATGACAGAGGATGAAATGGTTGGATGGCATCACTGACACAATGGGCATGAGTTTGGGCAAACTCTAGGAGATGATGAAGTACGGGGAAGCCTGGCATGCTGCGGTCCATGGGGTCACAAAGAGTTGGACATGACTGAGCAACTGAACTGAACTGAGAGATTAAATAAGTGTAACCATGAAACAAAAACAGGACCTTGGGGACAGTGGGGGTAAGGAAGCTATATACACAGAAAAGAGCTAAGGGAACAGAAATGAGCTCTTGAAAATTAAAACTTTGATAAAAGATATGAAAAAGACAGTAGAAGTAGGTTTGTAAGATAAAGATGAGAAAAATTTCAGAAGATAGTGATAAAGAGAAAACTGAAAGAAGAAAATATATAAAAATTAGAGGTTGAGTCCATGAGGTCTGGTATCCAAATACAGGTGTTAATGTACGGAGGGAATAACTACAGAAAATTATCAAAGAGGTAACTAAAAAGTTTTCCTAAAACTAATGAATCTGAATTTTGAGATGGAAAAGATCTTAGAACACTGGAACAAGTAAAAGCTCCTGTAAACTAAGAGGGAAAAAGGAAAATACAGCAAACTAAGACAAGGAATCATATTTGCATCTCCCTTACTCTTTATGTCATACTCACAAAATGATAAAAAGTTAAAAAGAAAGAAACAAAACCCATTAGTATTAAAGGCATAGTTAAAATCAGAAATGGAATAGCCCTCATAGTCAATGAAAGAGTTTGAAATGCAGTACTTAGATGCAATTTCAAAAACAACAGAATGATCTCTGTTGGTTTCCAAGGCAGACCAATCAATATCACAGTAATCCAAGTCTATGCCTCAACCAGTAATGCTGAAGAAGCTGAAGTTGAATCATTCTATGAAGACCTACAAGACCTTCTAGAACTAACACCCAAAAAAAATGTCCTTTTCATTACAGGGGACTGGAATGCAAAAGTAGGAACTCAAGAGATACCTGGAGTAACAGGCAAATTTGGCCCTGGAATACAGAATGAAGCAGGGCAAAGGCTAATGGAGTTTTGCCAAGAGAATGCACTGGTCATAGCAAACACCCTCTTCCAACAACACAAGAGAAGACTCTACACATGGACATCACCAGATGGTTAATACCGAAATCAGACTAATTATATTCTGTGCAGCCAAAGATGGAGAAGTTCTATACAATCAGCAAAAACAAGACCGGGAACCGACTGTGGCACAGACCTTTATTGCCAAATTCAGACTTAAATTGAAGAAAGTATGGAAAATCACTATATCATTCAAGTATAACCTAAATCAGATCCATTACAATTATACAGTGGAAGTGGGAGATAGATTTAAGGGGTGATATCTGATAGATTGCCTGAAGAACTATGAACAGAGGTTCTTGACATTGTACAGGAGACAGGGATCAAGACCATCCCCAAGGAAAAGAAAGGCAAAAAGGGAAAATGGTTGTCTGAGGAGGCCCTACAAATAGCTGTGAATAGAAGAGAAGTGAAAGGCAAAGGAGAAAAGGAAAGATATACCCATTTGAAGGCAGAGTTCCAAAGAATAGCAAGGAGAGATAAGAAAGCCTTCCTCAGTGATCAATGCAAAGAAATAGAGGAAAACAATAGAATGGGAAA